CTGGCGACGATTGTCGGGCGCCACCTGGCGGCCGCTTTTAGACCCTCTGTCCCTTCCCGAGCCGCGAGGGAGGTCTTCTGGCTGCTTCGCACGAGGTGGACTTCCAGCAGCCCGGCCGCGCTGGCGGGATCGTGCCGGTGGCACCGATGTGTCCACGCCCGACCTCCTGGCCAGAGACTGTACCTGCAGGATTAGGAAGGGTGTGTGGGGTCGCCCGTGCGGGTGGACCAGTACGCGCCGGCTCCGCCGCGCTCGCCTCCCCCGCCCCGAAAGCCAAAGTCTGGCCGCGGTGACCGGCTGTCGGGACGACGGGCCGGGTCGCTCAAGGGGGAACGCTTGGGGTGGGTGCCTCGCGGCTGTTCCGGAGGTGCTGACCGGGGCGTGCCATGTCGGGTGGCCTGACGGGGCGCCACGGACTGGGACTCGTTTGGAGCTCGCTTCTGGCGTCGGTGCGTTCTTCGGTGGCGCCTCTGAGGAATTTTTCAAAGCCCAGAGGCCACCCGGGAGACGCGAGGGGACGGGCGCCACGCCCGGGTGGCCGCCCGGGCTCTTCCCTACTCGCCGCCTGGCCGCCTGGGCCCCGCTCGCGGCACGCGGCTGTGTCGGCGCCCGAACTTAAGGAGTGCCGTTCGTGAAGCGGGCGGGGACTGGCACGAGCGGCCGCACGTGGAGGCTCGCGGAGGACCAGGTGGGCCCTCCATCGGGCACACGTGGGTCCCGGGCGCCGTACTCGGTTCCTCTCTGCCGTTTTCTTCTCCGGAGCCCCCATATGGAGTCGAGAAGCGCCGCTGAGCTGTGCCGCGCGTGGCCCTTGGCCGGGGCCAGGGGCGAAGGCATTCCCTCCTCCGGAGGAGGCCGGCTCGCCGTGGGCGCCTTCTCGCGGTTGTTGGCAAGGCCCCGCGCAGAAGCGCGTTCTGGGCGGGCGTCCCGCTCCTCAGGCACCCGCGCGTGCTCCTGTCCGCGGTCGACTCGTACGGGGGCTATTTTGAAGGGGGAGGGGCGTGTGGTCGACTAGATGGTCCGTGGAGCGTCTGCTGCCCTACAACCCCCCCACCCTTGTTCTCTAAGGTCGATGGGGTTGTGCTGGGTGGCATTTGGCCGCGCCTTCCTTCCGGGAGGCCCGGGAGATCCGTGGATGGATCCCCGCCTCCGTGACCCGTCGTTGTTCTGCCCCGAGTTGGCAGATTGTGCCATGAGTAAAGCGGAGACACGCTGTCGGCGGTCCTGCGTGGCTTTTGGACTTGTGATTCGTAGCCCGGCTCCCATCCCTGCTCCGTGGGGAAAGAGGAGCGTGCTACGTAGAGGCCTGCACGCGCTGGCCTCGGTCGCGCTCTGTGTGTCTTCGCGAGCCGTGCTCTTCTGCTGCGCTTGTGTGGTGAGGCTGGCCGGTGGTCCCTGCCATTCACGACCCCGGGTTTGCCCGCGCTTCTTTGGCTTTTTTGGAGGGGACGCTGGGTGTGCTCTCTTCTGGCTTGATGGATGTGGTGACATCACGCTCTCCCGGGCCTGGCCTAAGCCCTGCCGGTCGAGGGCGGACCTTCAGTGGCGAAAGGGACCTCTCTTTTCGCTCCTCCCACGGGTTTCTCTTTTCGCCCAGCCGCTTGGTGGTGGTGTGGGGAAGGGGAAGGGGTGGGGAGCCGCGACCGCGGGGGCCCGGCCGCCCCTCCCAGGGCGCGACCACTCTCCCACCTCCTCCTGCTCCTACTCCCCCGGCGACCGGGGCCGAGGCCGGCGTGGCTTGGGGCGGGGTGGACTGTCCCCAGTGCGTCCCAGGCAGGTGGCGCCGTGGGGCCGCGGGGGTATCTTCGTGGTCCACGCCGCCCAAGCAAAGGGAGCACACGCGGTTGGCGGCCATGTCGGCCACCCACCTGAGCCATCTTGAAACACGGATCAAGGGGTCTGACGCGTGCGTGAGTCAGGGGCTCACGTAAAAGCCGCCACCCTCCCCTGTGGCCTCTCCGCGTCAGCGGGGGCGCGGGGCCGAGGTGGGATCCCGAGACCTCTCCAGTCCGCTGAGGGTGCACCACTGGCCCATCTTGCTTGCTGCCACGGGGAGGTGGAGCAAGAGCACTGTGTCAGGACCTGAAAGATGGTGAGCTGTGCCTGGGCAGGGCAAAGCCCAGAGGAAACTCTGCTGGAGGTCCGCAGCGGTCCTGACATGCAAATGGATCACCCGACTTGGGTTATAGGAGCGAAAGACTCATGGAACCACCTAGTAACTGGTTCCCTCTGAAGTTTCCCTCAGGATAGCTGGCGCTCTTGCAGAACTTGATTGGCACACATATACAGTTTTATCCGGTAAAGCAAATGGCTGGAGGTCTTGGGACCGAAATAATCTCAACCTATTCTCCCACTTCAAATGGGTAAAAAGCCAGGCTTGCTGGTGTGGAGCCGAGCGTGGAATGCGAGTGCCTAGGGGGCCACTTTTGGTAAGCAGAACTGGTGCTGTGGGATGAACTGAATGCCATGTTAAGGTACCCGATGCTGACGCTGCTCATCAAGACCCCAGAAAAGGTGTTGGTTGATATAGACAGCAGGATGGTGGCCATGGAAGTTGGAGTCTGCTGAGGTGTGTGTGACAACTCACCTGCTGAATCTCAACTAGCCCTGAAAATGGATGGTGTTGGAGCGTCGGGCCCATACCTGGCTGTTGCTGGCAGTTGGTGTGGTGCATGAGCAGGGGACCGGAGCAGGGACCGAAGCAAGACCCGGGTGGTGGGGGGCCTCTCCCCCTCCCCCCTTGCCCCCTGGCTCACTACACCCCTTGGACGCTAGGCCACAACAAGTAGGGGAGGGCTGCTGTGGTGAGTCTTGTAGCCTAGGGCGTGGGCCCAGGTGGAGCTGCACCAGGTGCAGATCTTGATAGTAGCAAATATTCAAACGAAGGACTTTTAAGGCCGAAGTGGAGAAGGGTTCTATGTGAACAGCAGTTGAACATGGGTCAGTTGGTCCTGAGAGATGGGCCAGCGACGTTCTGAAGGGACGGGCGATGGCCTCCATCACCCTCGGCGGATTGAAAGAAAGTCAGGTTCAGATCCCCGAATCCGGAGTGGCAGAGATGGGTACCGTGAGGTGTCCAGTGCGGTAATGCGACTGATCCTGAAGAAAGCTGGTGGGAGCCCGGGGGGAGGGTTCCCTTTTCTTCGTGAAGGGCAGGGCGCCCTGGAATGGGTTTGCCCCAAGAGAGGGGCCCAGGCCTTAGAAAGTGTCGAGGTTCTGGCGGTGTCCGGTGAGCTCTCGCTGGCCCTTGAAAATGGGAGGGAGGGGGGGAGAGGGTATAAATCTCACGCTGGGCTGTGCCCATGTCCACAGCAGGTCTCCAAGGTGAACAGCCTCTGGTATGTTGCAACAATGTCGGTAAGGTAAATTGGCAAGCCAGATCCGAGACTTAGGGATAAGGATTGGCTCTAAGGGCTGGGTCGGTTGCCTGGGACACAAAGTGGGGCTGGGCATGCGTTGTGGTTGGATGAGGCGCTGGCGCCTCCGCCCCTACTCCTGGGGCCGACCCCGCAGGGCCCTTGCCGTCCCCCCCCCCGCCCCCCCTGCGCCAGCCGTCGTCCCCACTTCCATCTCCTCCGCTCTGTGCGGCGGGGTTTGCGGGGGAGGGAGGCGGCAGGGGTTGGGGGTGGGCTCTGGCGGCAGCAGGGGGGTTTCCCCTGCGGGTTGGGGGCCCAGACACACGGTATGCCGGCGGCGGTGCTGTCTCCAGACGGGAGCCGGGCCCTTCCTGTGGATCGCCCCAGCTGTGGTGGGCGCCGGGCCCTGCCGGGGAGCCTGGTGGTGGCGATTGCACTTGTGCATGCCGGGCATGTCAGGGCCGGGCCTCTCTGCTGCAGGGGGGTTCCAGGTGGCGGCGGGGTCGGTGTTTGCCCCCCTTCCCGTGCCTCGTCTCCCTCCCCGTCCGTGTGCGCAGGAGCCACCCTTCCCCCGTGCCTGGAGCCAGGTGCTGGTCCCAACCCGCTGGGTCTGTCCCCTAGGCTGTGGTTCTGCGGCGAGCGCGGGGCCTCACCTCAGCTAGGGCCTAGCACCCGACTTAGAACTGGTGCGGACCAGGGGAATACCACCGTTTATTTAAAACAATGCATGGCGAAAGGCCCACGGCGTGTGTTGATGCGATGTGATTTCTGCCCAGTGCTCTGAATGTCGAAGTTGAAGGAATTCAATGAAGCGCTTGTAAATGGCCAGACGGGGGTCTGATTCGGAGAGGCCCTCGTCTGGGGAAATGGGGAGTGACCGGAAAGGAGGCCGCCCCCTCGCCAGACACGCACCGCATGTTCGTGGGGAACCTGGTGCTGAAACCATTCCTAGACGACCTACTTAGGGGTCGGTGTTTCGGACAAAGCAGAGCAGCTCCCTCGCTGCGCTCTATTGAAAGTCAGCCCTCGGCAATAAGGGGTTTGTTCTGTCTCCTTATGGTGTGTTTTCCTTCCCGTCCTCCGTTCCACTCGCCCCCGGTGGGCGGGCGGCTGGCTGGCGCCGCCTTGCGGCAGGGGTGAGGGACAAGAGGAGGGGGTTTTGAGGGGGGAACGTTGGCGCGGCGGAGGCATCCCTCCCACACCGGCGGGCACTGAGACTCGGGCGCGAGTCCCACGCTTTGACCCCGCGGGCTGCGAAGGGGGAGTCAAGGGAGTGGCGGTGGTACAGCAGGTGGCAGTGCCCGCAGGCCTGTTGGGGAGGGGTGGGTCGCAGGTGCGGGGCACGAGTCTCTGTCTCTAGGTCGCATGTGTTACCTCCTCCCCTTCCTTTTTTTTCTCTCATGACCTCGGCAGGGGTCAACCAGCACTCGCGCTCTGTCCACGGGGCTCGGAGTGGAGGGTCAATGCGCTGGCACAGCGGGACACGGGACTTAGTCTGTGGGCCCGGGCTGCCAGGGTCGACCAGCTGGCCCACCTGTGTATTTTGTGTGTGTACATGGGAAGAGTAGGCCATAAATGAGAACGCGATTTATTTATTTATTTATTTATTCTTAGTTTTTAATTTAGTTTTATTGTATTTTTCTTTACTTTTACTTAGTATTATTACTATTACAAGTAACTCTTTGCTTTTTCCCCTTTTGGGTGTACGACATGGCCATTGGACAGTCACCTTGCTTCCCACGAGATGACCTCAGAGTCTGTTGGTTACAATTTTGTGCCTCTCCTCCCTCGCGCCCCCCTGCCCCCAAACCTTCTCCAATAACACCAGCAATCCCGCCAGCATGGACAACATCGCCACCGCACTCATTACCATTTCTATCACTGCCTATAGTTCAGGGAAGTTGGTCGCTGGCTGCGGCACCGGCACCGGCACCACAACAAAGCTATCCCAGTTGAGTTTCTCTGCACGGGGCGGGCACAGAGGACGTGTGCTTGCTTTCGCAGAGATGTCCCGATCGCTCCTGTGCGTGATCTCTCCCCAAGTCAACGCGACGTCCGTCAGTTAGGAGGAATCCATCCTGGGCGCGGCAGAGGTGCTGGTTCGGTCCCGGGGTTCCGATGGAAGGAGAAGGAAGAGAGGACAGTTGATTGCCTGGTCTCCCGAGGGAGTCCCCTTACGCTGCCGTGATCGAGACGAGGCCGACTCCCAACTGCCTTACCTCAACGGCCGCTTTTATAATCGCCCCAGAAAAGCGGTTGACCAGATGGCCGGACGCAAAGTGGGCGGGACAGCAGAACTCTGAAAGGCTAGGTGCAGGGACGAAGGCAAAGAGAAAGAGGGCTCTAGGAACCAGTGACAGGAGAGGATGGCTCACTGGCCACTCGCGTGGGTCAGCCGCGGGATGGGGCTGGGGACCGGGTTTGGGGGCGGGGAAGGGGGAGACGTGGACCTGCGGGCAGAAGCGGCCTACGGGCTCATGGAAGCACACCTTTCAGAAGGTCGCCGGTTCCATTCCCGGTCTGGGCACATGCCAGAGTTGTGGCCCAGGTCCCCAGGATGGGGGGAGGGGTGCCCGAGAGGCAACATGTTTCTCTCCCTCTCTCCCTTTTCCCCACTCTGTCAAAATGGATAGCTACAGTGTGTGTGCGCGTGCATGTATGTACATAGACGTAGAGGTATGCTTGTGTGCCTGCCTGCGCGCACACATGCACACACACAAACCCACCCACTCACCCACCCCTTGTGCACACACGGAAGATTCTACCACAGCTGCATATCTGCCAACTATCTCGTGAAATAATAACGAGGAAAATGAGGCCACAAAATTTCAACCGACATGATTCAACTGATAATCAGTGAGAGTACCAGATACTACATATTACTGTTTTATTGCCGTTGTTTTCCCTCTCAAATGGAAAGCGCAGCGGGGTGTGTGTGTGTGTGTGGGGGGGCTATATCCTTAAATTTGTCTGATTTTCTGTGTGCTGTTCAACATGTTTAGGTGTTCGACCTTACCATGAAAGTAAGAAAGCTTCATTGTCAGAAGAATTGGAAACTCTTTGATGGTAGCTGGAGTTGTGTGCCGCTGACCACCTTGAGGAAGAAAGCCAGAAACACTAGGTTTTCCTAGTGTGGCTCGGACAATACATTGGTATTGACGCGTGAAGGGGTGCTGCTGTGGACCTTTCTCCTGGCAGGTGATGAGACCGTTGTGGCCTGTCACAGGTCTCCTTATGCTTTATCATTGAGCTGGTGAAGAAAACAGATGCTTTCTTTACATTTGCTGACACTTTCCTGCTGCCTTTCTCCATATGTGCCCTTGTTGCATGGTGACAGGAGAGGGATAAAGAAGACACTATTAGTTTTTTAAACAAACAAACAAACAAACAAACAACCCTGGCTGGTGTGGCTCAGTGCATTAAGCGCCGACCTGCAAAGAAGAGGTCACCCGTTCGATTCCCAGTCAGGGCACATGCCTGGGTTGCAGGCCAGGTCCCCAGGTAGGGCATGCAAAAGGCAACCACACATGGATGTTTCCCTCCCTCCCTCCCCTCCTCTCTTCCCCCCTCTCTAGAAATCAGTCAATCGATTGATCAATCAATAAAATCTATCAAAACAAAACAGGATCATGACTTAGGAATCACAGCATACGCTCCGCAACCCCCCCCGTGAAAGAACCCCACAGCAGAACCTCTCCCTCTTCCTTCAGAGTTGCCATCATCTGTGGGGTTCTTTCACGTCTTTTCAACTTCCTCCTTTGTACAGTGAGGAGGAGGCGAGTGAAATCATCAGCGAGTATGTGAAGTGAGACTGAGGATTTCCTGTAGAAACTGACAGGTTCTCTTAGGCTCCCCTGAGGAATAAATGCCAAATCAGCCACAAAGTTAGGCAGTATAATGCTTTTTATTGGATTTGGGCTCCCAGAGCAAGATTCTCTGGTCCATAGAAAGGAGGGCTAGAGATGCTGTGCCGAGCAGGGGAAGGGGGGGGGGGTGTTTATTTTGGGTTGGCTCTCTGTGGGAGCTGGGGATTGGTACCCTGTAAACAAAGCAGTAATATATCATTGGTGGTTTCCGGTTTGACATCAGCCATAACTTCCGGCTTGTAGTTCAGCCACCATCTTGATTGTAGTCCAGCTGCTATGATTGATTATAGCTAGGCTCCCTTTTGTCCTACTCCGCCCATCCTGACAGAAACCGGGTGGGTGGAGGGAGGACGGCTCCATCCACCTATCCCTCCGGTGCTTGGAGCAGAGTGTTGCTGCGGGAGCATGTCTGCTGACACCCTGACTCAGGGTTTTGGAGTCCCCGTCACCCCGTACCCAGGCCTCCCCGGGCCCTTCTCCCTCTGCACCTCACCACCCAGAGCTGGGCCTAGGGCATCTAAGGCCACGGGGAGCTGCTGTATACCTCCCCCCCACCCCTCGCCCGCCCTCGACCCGGCCCTCACCACTGTCCCAGCCCCGCCCCAACCCCAACTCAGGATTATGAAATGGCGGAGGGAAGGCTGTCTCTCCTGGGCTGGGAAATGGCGGGGGCCGGGGTTGTGGAGGACAGGGATTCTTTTTCGCCTGGGACCGCCCGGCGGTTTCTCCCCTCTTCCCCGTCCCCTCCCCCACTCCCTGGAGCAGGTGTCCAGTTTAGAAGCTGCGGCTGTGGCCTAAGGGAGGGGGAAGTCGAAGGAGCGAAGGCTCTGAATTCCGCCGAGAGAGCTTTCTGCGTTTGAATGACACCGTTGAGTGAGGTCCTTGGGAAACGAATCGCCCCAACCTTCCAAGCGGCCCAGGGGGCGAGACGCCTGGATGAGAGGACACCTGCTCTGGGACTGCCCTCCCACTTACCTCTGAGGCTGAGGAAGAGGGGAGGTGGCGGGGGGCGGGGGGGGGGTGCGGCGGGGCGGCAAGAGAGACTGCCGGGGGCACCGATGGCTCCGGGAATGTCTGGTTTCTGCTGAGGGGCCGCTCTCCAGGGGGTCGGGAGCTAAACTCAGCTCTCATCCTGCTTCGGAAAAGGCCTCGAGGCTAAGCCGGCAAAGGTTCTTGAGATTTTCTGATCCACGAACCGTTCCACATTCTCTCATCCCGCCCCAACTTTCTGCAGGGATGCCCCCACATTCTTTCTGTTTGTCCATAGAAAAGACTCAGACCCGAGAAAGAGCCCCGCCCGCCCTCCCCACCCCCCACACGGCACGACCCATTCTTTCACTGCAGGAAGTCCAGTCAGTTTTGATTCAGCCCGATAGTTTGCATAAACACGACAGGAAGAGCAATGGATTGTATACCAGGTGACGTTTTCACCATTCTTTCCTTTTTCTTCTCCCCGGCTCTCCCCCCTGCCCCCAATGACTCTCTAGTCCCTTTATCTCCCTCACCCCACCCAAAAGGCCTTCTCCAAGGCATTTGGCTGGAACGGGACAGGGGCGTGGAGTAGGCAGAGAGAGATCTTTGCCTCCACATTGCTTCTGCCAGTATACAGCGCGGGTTTACTTTGAGAAACAGACTGTTCTCATGTTTGACAAACAGGCAATTCAAGATGAGTGATACTTTGACACACATGCGCGCACGCACACACACACAGAGTGGTAGAGGCCATCTCCTCGTCGGTGTATCCATGACGTCCGATGATGAATTTCTGTCTATCCAGATCATTGCACAGACCTGGCAACCTTCACTCTGAGGGAGTCAGATGTCCTCTCCAGATGTGAACCCCTCCCGATAGGACCCTCCTCTTTTTCTGCAAATGCATGAGAGGGAAACTGAAGCAGGAGACAGCATAGGAAGAACTCTGAGACTGCAATACTGTCAGTGGCCAGCACTTAGCACCCTGGTTGCCTGGAAACACCTTTTACCAATTAGGTAGAATAAATAGTAAGTGGAGGCAGGGAGGAGGAAGGAGACAAGTCTCAAATGCTAACTCAGCAGTCCTAAGCCTGTTCTGATAATATTGCCAGGTGTTTCAATATCACAAGAAAGACTATATTAGCAAGAAAGAAAGTCCTTGAAATTTTATGTAACATTTCCACTATCTGGGAAAGAAAGCCTTGAAACTGTGCTTTCATCCCAAGGCCTGAATGTGGGAAAGGGTCCCTGATGCTCACAGAAAGAGCCCATAAATAACTTTGGAAAGTGCCCCAATTTTAATTAGCTGCCCCCTGTCACATATTTGTTTTACAACAAGATGACCAAATGGAGTCTGGAGCAAGATAGAATTCAGGTGGACAGAGCCCCATTCATCCCTAAATTTGGGTAGTCACATTTCCCCAGGAAAGCTGGCGCCACATTTACCCGTTAATCAATATGTAACTTTTTCCCTCCTATCTCACCAACTATATAAGTTTGGAGAACAGAGGACTCACTCTCTCTCAGGGGCTCAGGATGCTCTCTCTCTCGGGGGCACAGGGGGCTCTTGGCTCTTGGGCCATAGGGCCTCTGGCCACTCGGCCTCAGGCTGCCCAGGGGCTTGCCACCCTGGTCTCCAGCCTCTCTTGCTTTTCTCACCCTACTTTGCTCTGAAACTTTGCCTTTCACTCCATACTCTACCTGGTCCTATTCTCTTCCATGGAAGCGTGCCACTAGTAAACTGATTACATACTACTAGATTTGCTGATATGTAATTGTTTACATGCGTTAGCAAGAAGAACCAGGTCTCTCCCGTCAACAAAACGAGGACTACTTATCAATGACAAAACCTAAAACAACACAGTTGGTGGCAGAGCCCAGTGTGATGCAGTGGGGTCGACCGACCGGGGAAATTCCCTTTTCTGCTCCGCATTTCCGGAGGATGACTCACGTGACCAAGGAAGCCAGATCGGAACTCATCGGATGTGTAGAACATCTACCTGAAGAATAAAAATGTGTGCGTCCCCTCAGAACACACTTTTCGTGTCTTTCTTGGACAGAAAAAGTGTACTTGAATCTGATGAAGCAGGCCTCACTGGTTCCAAAACTTCTCTTTCATTATACTTTTTAGCCAAAGGGCAGGCACTGATTTCTTTGGCACCGATGTAGGAGGGTGCAGCCAGGGGGAGTCCCCAAAAGAAGGATTTGTAATGGGGTTCAGAACACAAGGTGTCCAGGAAACATTAGAAAGATATATGCAATGTCCTCACCCTCCACCACGCGTGTGAGTTGGGGGAAGGGACACATGGAGCAGTGTTATTGAGAGCTGTTTGGCATAGCAACAGCTTTGCAGCTAATGTCCTGTGTGGTCATTTAACACATCTATTACTGTTAATTGGTTGCATAGATATGTTAAATAGCTGTGGCCCTGCTCTGAGCCAGGGGGATGGAAGGAACTTCCCTGCAAGATGTAACTGGGAGGCTATTCCCCCTAGTTGTAGCGTCTGCGTGAGAGCTTGGAGATGATTTGCTCCATGACCTGGGGCCACCCCTGGGCAGACTCATGATGGCAGCCCAGTAAAGCTGGAAGGGTATTTAAACCCAGACTCGGCAGCCATTGAGGAGAGGGAGCCACACAGCTGTGGCAGTGGAAAGAGAAGCACGTGGCTGCAGCCATGTAAGGAGAACCACATGGCTTTCCTATAGTTTAATATGAACTAGTATGTGATAGGGAGAGAAACCTAGCAAGACCCATTTGATCAAAGTTCTCTCAGTGTCCCATTGTTAAGGATTTATTAAACAAACATTATTTGTTTTTTTTTTAATCTCTATGTGAAGTGCCTTCTTGCCTTTAAAGACCCAAACTACTAATCCTCTTTTCTTCTTAGCTCAAGATGGCATATGAGCCCTAACTACCCAATTCACTCTCAGATTTCATATTTATAAGGAAACCCTGTATGTATATATTGAGTTGGCAAAAAAAATCCATTTAGATTTTTCTGTAAAATAAAGGACACATTTTTCATTTTTACCGATAACTTTATTGAATTGGATATTTTGAGTATGTCAGCTATCTTCTGCAAGGCATAGCATTGATTGTTCTCAATGTCTCTATTCAATTGCTATCAACTTCAACTGTTGGTTGAAGTTGACCATGACCATGGAGCATCATCCAGTGAGAAATCTCCAGCACAAAACTTCGTAAACCACTTTTGACATGTTTGATCAGTCACAGCATCTTCTCCACACACTGCACAAATCTTTGTTTTTGCTTTTCAGTTACATTTTTACTTTTCTTGAAATAAAAAAGCATAA